GGCTGCGGTGGCAGGGAGCGGCCACTGCACTCCAGTCTGGGCGACAGAGTGAGACTCCAACTCAAAAAAAATAAATAAATAAAATAGCAAGGCTCTGTCTCTAAAAGTATAAAATATAAAAAATAAAAATAAAAAGATGATTTAGTTGTCCATAGAAAATTAGTTTATGATGAAGTAATAAAAAGTGCTAATGCTGGGGATAATATTAAAAATAAAAAAGATGATTGTAAAATTTTACAGACTTTATATAATTTATAAGCAACAGTTTGTAAATACTAGGTTTCTATAATTAAAATACTACTCACCATTTTGAGATAAGAAAAAGGTCAGCCCTTTTCCGGCAGATTTATAGTTCATTTTGGAAACTCTTTCATCACTTAGAGACGTCCTGATCTTGGGCTTTTACATAAAAAAAAAAAAATCAAAGCAAAACATTATTTTTGTATCATTATGGACTAAAACTAGTTTTTTATATTATAATTAATTAGAGAGCTATTAATGAAGACTTTTTGTTGTTTTTGTTTTTTAGTTAGAGTCTCACTCTGTTGCCCAGGCTGGAGTGCAGTGGCACACTCACGGCCACCGCAGCTTTCACCTGCCGGGTTCAGGTGATTCTTCCACCTCAGTCTTCCAGGTAGCTGGAACTACAGGTGCACACTACCATGCCCGGCTAATTTTTGGATTTATTGTAGAGACGAGGTCCTGCCAAGTTGCCCAGGCTGGTATCAAACCCCTGGGCGCAGACAATTCTCTTGCCTTGGCCTCCCTAAGTGCTGGGATTACAGGCTTGAGCCACCACACCCGGCTGATGAAGACATTTTTTAGCTAATTTGACTATTTTTAACCTGCATAAAATCTTGATATTTATTCTATTAAGAAAATGAATAACAGAGTTTTTGCATTTACTAAAAGGCTCCCCCAAAAAACTCCAAAGACTTAAAAATCTCCCTTGAGTCTGTTGGGAAAGCACTTATTGGATACAATTGTTAGATTCATCTATTAATGGCTTTAATTATCACGTGTGCTTTAACTCCTACATTTATATCTCTAAGTGGAGTTCACCCTTGAACTCCAGTGTTGTCTCCAGCCATGTCACTCTCAGTCACCACTCCATGTCTAATCCGGCCCCTTAAGCCTATTGTGTCCAAAATCAACTCCTTAATTTTGCCCCAAAAGTTCATCCCTCTATCCCCATCTTCCTCATCTTAAATGGCAACTCTGTTGCTTTCAGTTGCTCAGCCCCAAAATCTTAGAATCATCTTTTCCCTCCATTTCCCTTTTAAATCCCACACCCCTCAAAACACCTTAGACCTGAGCCTACTTTAGTCCCAGTCACTGTCCACCTCTGACCGGGATGGTTCCAAGAGTTTCCCCACTGGTTTGTCAACGGTGAAGCCAGAGAGAGCCTTCTGATGCCCCACCCAGAATAAATGCCAGGGCCTCACCACTGCCAGATGCCCTTTCTATCACTTAGATCCGTTCCAGCTACTTGGAAGGCTGAGGCGGAAGGATCGCCGGAGCCCAGCAGGTCGAGGCTGCGGTGGCCGGGAGTGGACATTGCACTCCAGTCTGGGCGACAGAGTGAGACTCCAACTCAAAAAAAAAAAAAAAAAAAAAAAAATATATATATATATATATATGGTTACTTGTAAATACAAACCTCTGCTTTCCTTATTTTGTTAATATCAGGCAAGAGTCCTAACTTGCTTGAAGATGACTTGGCACTGTCAGAGTGACCGATATCAGATTCGTGGCTTGCGGCTGCAGCTGAACTCCTGTTTAGGGCACCCTATGCAAGGACAAACATATCAGAGGATGTCTGCTTTCTGGAGAGATATATATGTGTATATTTAAATAGAGTGCAATTGATTTGCAATAAACTACACATAAAGAGTACTATCTGATGGGTTTGACATATGTCTACACCTATGAAACCATCACCTCCATGAAGACAGTGAATATACCCATCCTCCCCAAATTTCCTTGTGCCCCTTGGTAATCCATCCCTCCTCCCATCACCAGGCAAACACAGATTTGCTTTCTGTCACTACAGATTAACTTTCCAGAATTTTATATAAATGGACTCAATGGTATGCACCTTTTTTTGCCTGGATTCTTTCACCCAGCACAATTATTTCGAGATGCATCTATGCTGCTGCATGTATCATAAGTAATAAGTTATTTTCTTGCTACATCATATTCTATTGCATGGATATGATGTGATCTGTTTATCTTGGTGGGCTGTCTGCAGATTCTGGAGGTTGGACTTACTTTGTGGCACAGAATATGGCCTATCTTGATAATGTTTCATGTTCACTGGAAAAGAGTGTGGGTTCTGCTGGTGTCATTTAGATCGAGTGTTTAATAGTGTTATCCAAAGCTTCTATATGCTCACTGATTTTCTATGTACTTGCTCTATTAATTATTGAGAGCAGGGTTGAATCCCTAACTATAATTGTGAATTTGTCTATTTTCTCTGCCCTCAGTTTTCTCACATACCTTGAAGCTTTGTCATGACATGCATACCCATTTAGGATTATTAGGATCTTTTACTTAACTGACCCACTTACCACTATGAAGTGACACTCTAACCCTGGTAGTATTCTTTTTTCTGAACTCTAACTACTTTTCGGAGAGATATATATGTGTATATGTACACACTCATATATTATTTTAATAGATGTGGAGGAGGCTGATACTGATATAGCTACCCTAGCTTTCATTATATAGTGTATGGTATATTATTTTCCATACTTTTACTTTTCACCTGTTTGTGACTTTATATTTAAATAGGCATATTGTGCCAGGTGTGGTAGTTCATGCCTATAATCCCAGCACTTTGGGAGGCCAAAGGGGTGGATTGCTTGAGCCCAGGAGTTCAAAAGCAGTCTGGGCATCACAATGAAACCTCATCCTAAAAAATGTAAAAATAATAAAAATTAGCCAGGTGTGGTGGTGCATGCCTGTAATCCCAGCTATGCAGGATGCCGAAGGGGAAGAATTGCCTGAGCCCAGGAGGTCAAGAATGCCATGAGCCATGATCGTCATGCTCATGCCACCACACTTCAGGGTGACAGGGTGAGACCCCAACTCAAAAAAAATACACAAATTTAAAAAGAAAAGAAAATGGGCTTATTGTAGACAGTTTATAGGTTTTTGATTCTTTGAATCAATCTGACAATCTAAGCCTATTATTTGGGATGTGTAGATCATTTATGTTTAAAGGCCCATCTTGCTGTTTGCTTGCTATTTGTCCCATCTCTTCCTTGTTTCCTTTTTCTTTTTCTGCCTTCTTTTGGATTGAGTATTTTTTATACTTCCACTTTGTCTCCTTTACTGGCTTATTAACCACAGTTCTTTATTTTGAACCACATCTCATTTGTATTTTAATGACTTATAGTATACTTCTTTAACTTAGCATAGTCGACCTTCAGGTGATATTACACCACATCATTTATAAGAATCTTGACACTATACATCCATTTCTCCTCTTTCAGCCTTGTGTTGTCATACTTTTCATATGTTATAAACCTCATCAACACTGCTGTTATTGCTGCTTTAAACAGTCAATTCTTGGCCAGGAATAGTGGCTCACACCTGTGATCTCAGCACTTTGGGAGGCCAAGGTGGGAGGACTGCTTGGGCCCAAGAGTTCAAGACCAGCCTGGGCAACACAGTGAGACCTAAAAAAAATTAGCTGGGCAAGAAGATTGGGCTTTAATAACTTTTAAGCCAAGCATACCTGTGAACTTTAAATACTTTCCCAAAGTTATTGATCAAAATGGAGCAATGATTTACTTGGAGTGTGACATGGACATCCAATTTCCAAAGAAAGATGAGAGGAGCTAACACCTGAGCCAATTACTATCACAGGATATGGAAAGAACACAGAAGCTACATGGAATGCCAAATTAAAAACTAGGAGTGAACTTGAACAGATGGCTTTTGAGGATGTCCCCTAGACTAGCATGTTATTGGAATCCATGGTGACACCATTCATGAAATCATGAATGAATTCAAGGTGGACACTCATTTCTTCCAGAGTAGAGTCCAAGCCAGGCTCGCAGAAGCCACCAGTCAATATTCTCAAACTAGAGGAGGCATGTCTGACTGATATGGCGGGCAATGAGGTGAAATTAAACATGAAGCCCCCAGCTTCCCCACAAAGAATCCAAGACACATCCAAGGGATTTGTGGTAAGAGATATTCCTTGGACAACAATGAAAAGGTTCTTAATCATATGAGCAGCTCTGAAGAGTTTTTCCCATCTATGGGGCTCCGTAGGCCCCTAAGACTCTTCCAAATGAATGTCTCAAAAATTGGAAATCCTTTAAGCCCACCAAACTGGTTTGTCTCCATTTGACCCAGAGGCTGGATCCTTTATAAGTTTCTAACACCATACCTGCTCTAGCAAGGTCTCACAGTGAACCTAGAAAGTCCATCTTGTGAGCAAGCCCTGTCCTCAGGGTCTGTTTAGCACCTCATGCATATTCAGGAACTGTTCTTTGACAGATTTGATGTGGGACAGGCTTTCCACTTTTATAAACACTAGATATATATAATCAAACATTTTGTCCCTCACTGCGATCTATTGCAAGTCAGCCCTCTACACAAGGGTTTGTACAAAAAAGAAAAAAAAATGTCAAGGTTGGGTGTGGTGACTCATGCCTATAATCCCAGAACTTTGGGAGTTTGAGACCAGCCTGGGCAACCTAGTGAGATCTTGTCTCTACCAAAAAAAAAAAAAAAATTAGCCAGGCATGGCGGCACGTGCCTGCAGTCCCAGGAACTCAAAAGGCTGAGGCAGACTGCCTGAGCCTAGGAGGTGAATGGTGAATATAACTATGCCATCGCACTCCTGCCTGGGCAAACGAATAAGACCCCAACTGAAAAAACCCCAAAACATTTCATAATAAACTACCTCAGATTTTCTAATCTGGTCTAGTGTCTACCCAGCATGCTGGTATCCCTCTGATTTCATTATATCTCCACTACTACAACTAGGCGTCTAGGCTAGGAAGACATTTTCCCTCACTTGTAAAAGAAAACCAATACATTCCTTTCAAAATGTGAAAAGATGTTTTAAGTTATTTCTTAAGTCTTAAATTACTTCCAGGAGTGACTACAAAAGCCCAATATAGTTGTGATAAAAGTTTAACCATTCCAAAATACAACTATTCCTTGCTCTGTAAATTCTAAGATATTATGTGTTACCTGGTTTATTGCTGTAGAAATACTTCCATATTTGTTTCCAGAAAAATCATCATTTGGAATATTTACATAGGATTTGGACATTTGGTCAGTAACACAAACCAGTGCAAAGCTTAAGAGAGCCTCAAAGAATTCCAGGAAAACCAGCTGAAACACAAGAAAACATAGATGATTGATTTGGGTGTTCATTCATTATTTCCTGACATATGAAGTATCCTTCTTTTTGCCAGGCACAGTGGCTCATGCCTGAATTCCCAGCACTTTGGGAGCTGGAGGCGAGAGGATTAACTGAGCCCAGGGGTTCGAGATCAGCCTAGGCAATTTGGTGAGACCTCGTCTTTATAATAAATTTTTTAATTAGCTGGTTGTGGTGGCATACACCTTAGCTACTTGGAAGGCTGAGGAGGATGGATTGCCTGAGCCCAGCAGGTCAAGGCTGTGGTAGCTGTGAGCATGCCATTACTCTCTAGCCTGGGTGACAGTGTGAAACTCCAATTCAAAAAAAAAAATTCTTCTTTTCAACATCAGTCTCTAGTTTCCGAGTGCTTTATATATAGTTCTTTGTATTGGGGTTCAGATTATTTTCAATCAAATCTTGATTCTTGGTACCATGGCAAAACAAACAGCCTGAATTAAGCCCACACCATTTGTGATGGCTCTTTACAAACCTCAAGTTCAAAGTTGCTGTCAATTCCATCATGTATGAAAGGATTATCCTCTGCTATTACCTCCACAAATTTGGTTGCTGTTAATTCTTTGTTTATCATTTTAAAGTCCTGTAAAAGAAACAGCCAACCAAACTATAACTGCCTGTAATTACAAACAGCTATATTTTAATGTCAATTTATATCAATGCAACAATTTAAGTAAATGTACAGAAATTAATACCTTTAAAAACTGCTATTTTTAGAAAGCATTCTATATTAAAATTAGTATTTACCTCTCTATCCTTACCCTGGTCCCTCTAAAATAACAGGAAAGCACTTTTTTTTGGCATAAGCACAGGACATAGATGATCCAGGTATGAAATATTAACCAGTTCTATAGGCTAGAAAGTTCCTATGGAAACAACACACTGTATAATGAAACCAATTTGACCATAGGATGATCAGCATATAACAAGGGTTAAGTTCCCATGGCATAAAGCAAGTAGTTTCACTTAAAGTCACTGTTTCTGAAAACCCATCAACAGTGTTAAATGAGGACTTACTGTACATGAATGTTCAGCTTTCAGTTAAAAAAAAAAAAAAGACTCAATTAGCTAGGTATGGTAGTGTGCGCCAGTAGTTCCAGCTACTTGGAAGGCTGAGGTGGAAGTATCACTGGAGCCCAGCAGATCGAGGCTGTGGTGGCCGGGAGCGTGCCACTGCACTCCAGTCTGGGTGACAGAGTGAGACTCCAACTCAAACAAACAGACAAAAAAATGACTCATACCTAAAACCAAGAAGATCTCAAATTGAATGCAAAAATACAATCAGTTGATGTCACCACCAAAATGACAATGATGTTAGAATTGACTGGTGAAGATTTTAAAACAGTCATCACAAAATAATGCTTCAATGAGCATTTACAAACATTCTTGAAACAAATGAAAAAATGGAAAGTCTCAGCAAAGAAATAGAAGAAATAAAGAATCCAATAGAAATTTCAAAACTGGAAAATCAACTAAAGTAAAATACTCAACAGATAAACTTAACTGACTTAACTGCATAGTAATGAGGACAAGAAAAGAATCAGTGAATAGAACAATAGAAATTACCCAATCTTAACAAAAGAGAAAATAGACTGAAAAAAATTTAACAAAGGGGACTGATTTAACAAAAGATATAACATTTGTGTTCATGCTATCAGAGTCAAAAAAGGCAAGGAGAAAGAGTGTAGGGTTAAAAAACACTTGAATAAATAATGGTTGAAGACAAGGCATGGTAGATCCTGCCTGTAATCCCAGAACTTTAGGAGGCTGAGACAGGAGGATCACTTGAGCCAGGAGTTTGAGACCAGCCTGGGCAACATAGTGAGACCTCCTCTCTACAAAAAAATATATATTTTTAAAATTAGCTGAGTGTGGTGTGTGTACCCATAGTCCCAGCTGCTTGAGGGGCTGAGGCAGAAGGATTGCCTGAGCTGGGGAGGTCAAGTCTGTGGAACGCTGTGAGTGATCCACTACACTCTATCCTGGGTGACAGAGTTAAGACCGAGACTCAAATAAATAAATAAATAATTTTAAAATAGTTGAAACTTAACAAATTTGTTAAAGCACAAACCCACAGATCAAAGAAGCTTAGTGAATTTCATGCATGATGAACCCAAAGAAATTCACACCAAGACACTTCATGGTCAATCCAAAACTAAAGACAAAGAAGGAAAGGTTTTTTGAAAGCAGTGAGAAATGATACTTTACCTATCTTGGGAAAAAATTCAAATGACAGCAGATTTCTCATCAGAAACAATGAGGACCAGAAGGAAGTGGCACATTTTTCAAGTGCTGAAAGAAAAGGACTGTCGATGCAGACTACTCCAGCTGGTGAAAATCCTTCAGGAATGAAGGGCACTTCAAAACATTCTCAGATGCAGGAAAACTAAGAATTTGTCACCAGTAGAGATATCTTAGAAGCATGGCTAAAGGAAATTTTCTAAACAGGAAGGAAATGATAAAAGAAGGAATCTAGGAACTTCAAGAAGGAAGAAAGAAACAATCTGTTTGTCTATCAATAGTTAAATGGATCAGATAGTGGTATAGTCATAAAATGGAATACTATTCAGCAACAAAAAGGAACAAACTGGTCACGCATAGTGACTCATGCCTGTAATCGCAGGACTTTGGGAGGCCAAGTGGGAGAATTGCCTGAGACCAGGAGCTTGAGACCAGTGTAGGCAACATAGTGAGACCTCATCTCTTCAAAAAAACATTTAAAAATTAGCTGGGCATGATGATACATGCCTGTAGTCCCAACTTCTCTGGAGGCTGAGGCACAAGGATTACCTGAACCCAGGAGGTCAAGGCCGCAGTGAGCCATGATCATGCCACTGCACTACACCCTGGGCAACAGAGTGAGACTTCAACTCAAAAAATAAATAAGTAGACTGGGCTCGGTGGCTCAACCTGTAATCCCAGCACTTTGGGCCGAGGTGAGTGGATTGCCTGAGCCCATGGGTTCAAGACCAGCCCAGGCAACTTGGTGAGACCTTGTCTCTAGAATAAAATAAAAAATTAGCTGGGCATGGTAGCGCGTGCCTGTAGTTTCAGCTACTTGGAAGCCTGAGGCAGAAGAATCGCCAGAGCCCAGGAGGTTGACCCTGGGGTGGCCATGAGTGTGCCACTGCCCTCTAGCCTGGGTGATGAAGTAAGACTCCAACTAAAGTAAATAAATACATACATAATATATGCATACATAAATGGAGAAGAAATTATAGAAAATTACTACTGTGCAATCCCTAGTGAAATAATGGATGTTAACAATGACCATCAGGGGTTACTAAAGTCACTGGTGATAGGCTTATGGAAAACATTACAATGCAAGGATCATGCTGGCCCCATCTGAACCCGCTCAGTCTCAGTATCACTATAAATAAATATTCCTGACGTCATACAATAAAAAGTACCCAGAACCACTGTGGCCTTGTCTAAATCAAAACACCTGAATCTAATCACGCCCCTAACTCTAACTACCACTGTAATGGAAATGTGGGGAAAAGAAGAAAATGTTAAACACCACTCTAAGGATACACTCAGCCCACCCAGGATGTCTGTCCTACTATACAGGGACAAATGACCATGAAGAAAGGAGGAAGGTGAAAAATAAATATTCTATCCCCCCAGAAATCAAATAATTTTTAAAAACGATTTTCCTGTAATTAGACACTAGGTTATTGTCAGTTTTCTGAATATGTACAACATTGTCACACTTTTTAAAAACACTTTATCATTAGTATTCATTTTTTTAGCTTCATCATTTGCATTCCCACAAGTACAAATCAAACGTATCTTGGAATAGGAACAGAAAACCAAATGCCGCATGTTCTCACTTACAAGTGGGAGCGAAGCTAGGAATCTGCAAAAGCATGTAGAATGATACAATGGATACTGGAGACTCAGTAGGGGGAAGGGGCAAAGCAGGGAGGGATGAGAAATCATCTTTCAGGTACAATGTACACTAATGGTGGTTGACAGGCACACTTAAAGCCCAGACTTTTTCACCACTATATAATATATCCATGTAACCAAAAACTACTTGTGCACCTAAAGCTATTAAAATAAAGATTTTTTAAAATACGTAGTTGAGAACATGACATTTCTATTTTTTATTTATTCATTTTTGAGTTGGAGTCTCACTCTGTCACCCAGACTGGAGAGCAGTGGCAGGCTCCCGGCCACTGCAGCCTCAACCTGTTGGGCTCCGGCGATCCTTCCACTTCAGCCTTCCAAGTAGCTGGAACTACAGGCACGCGCTGCCACGCCCGGCTAATTTTTTGATTTATTGTAGAGATGAGGTCTCGCCAAGTTGCCCAGTCGGGTCTCGAACCCGCAGGCTCAGGCAATCCACTCACCTCAGCCTCCCAAAGGCACAGAATTACAGGCTGAGCCACCGAGCCCAGCTCCAGCTAATTTTTTGATTTATTGTAGAGATGGGGTCTGGCCAAGTTGCCTAGGCAGGTCTCAAACCCGCGGGCTCAGGCAATTCACTCACCTCAGCCTCCTAAGGCACGGGATTACAGGCTGAGCCACCGAGCCCAGCTGACATTTCTATTTTTAATATTATTTAAGAAACTGCTTTTTGAAACTTTGAAATACGGTGAGTCCCCTACCTACAAGCCTTCAAGTTGCAAACTTTCAAAGATGCAAACCTGTGTTCACAAGTCCAGTCACGTAGGTTAGTTCATGTGTCTGGTGTACATGGTTCTGTGTGTGCATCCTCTACAAGTGGTTGTACTTTTGTGTACTTTACTGTGCAATGCTATATAGAGTACAATATCTTTATTTCAAGTCCAGAATTCTGGGAGCAAGCACAAAAGCAGCAGTGATGTAGCTGGTACAGTACTATACAGTCGATTGTGTAAGTTGGGTACCCAGGCTAACTTTGTTGAACTTAAGAATAAATTGGTCTTATGAATGCACTCTTGGAACAGAACTCATTCTGTTTGTATGCAGGGGACTTACTGTATGTGTGCTTAACCTAGAGGAGTTCTATGCATGGAAAGTTACCAAGTTGTAAGTACTGCCAGTTAAAAGTATTACGAGTTCTGCTGTGATCCATGAATACCAAAGTTACTGAAGTTAAATAATCTTGTGACAATTATACTAAAGTGTTGTCAGGGAAAAACAGTATCATGGAATAAAAACTACCAATAGTAAGAGAACATTGTATAAATAAGATGTTGTCACTATTTTCCAAACTAATAACTTTTAAAAATTACTTTTTTGATAAATAACAATTTTTAAACATGAAAACCATGCTCCTATCTTCCTTCCTTTCTTTGTGCTTTTTTTTTTTTTTTGAGTTGGAGTCTCACTCTGTCGCCCAGACTGGAGTGCAGTAGCCGCTCCCGGCCACCACAGCCTCGACCTGCTGGGCTCCGGCGATCCTTCCGCCTCAGCCTTCCGAGTAGCCGGAATTACAGGCATGCGCTACCACGCCCGGCTGATTTTTTTATTTATTATACAGATGAGGTCTTGCTGCCCAGGTGGGTCTCGAACCCGCGGGCCCAGGCAATCCACTCACCTCAGCCTCCCAAAAGCGCGGGATTACAGGCTGAGCCACCGAGCCCCGGCTCTTCGTGCTTTTTAAAGATCTCAATGGACTTTATTGTGATTCAAGGATCGGGCAGCACTTCATTCCATAAAACAGAATACACGTTCCTCCATCTTCTTTAAACTGTCAGGTCTGCGTGAGTAAAGAGCTTGTAGGCCACAGGCCATCCCATCCCCTAATCTGTGAGCACGTTAGGCGTGCCCCTGTTTCTATTCCATCCTCTGTCATAGACCATTTGAATCACTCTCTTCTGCCAAGAGACTCAGTAAACATTCAGTGGCCATAGAAATTCATCTCAAATCTCTATCTCATTACTTGTATATCATAGCTAGAATATCTGGCCTTTCTTTCATTGACAACAAAATGCCTCCAAATATGAAGCCAATATCGAACTTAAGTGATTACTTTCAACATCCAGATAAAGTGTCTCATCTTCATTGTAAGCTCGTTGGGAGGAGATCCATTTGGTCTGCAGTAAGTCAGATAAATCTCCCAGCACTTATCGATGTAATTCATTGCATAGAGTGTCCGCTGTTGCTCACGGAATAAATTGCCTAAAAGCACAACATTCAAAACATGATGACAGATTTATATTTTGAAAAAAGAATGGTGGTAAATATAATCCTATTGTTTTTATAATTTACCTTTTACCTGGCAGGCATTTGGATGAATGTTCTCAGTCATCAGCTTCGTAAAACACAAAAAGAGCGATGGACTTCTGTTTCTGTGGTTAAAAAGATTTAATTATTCCTCCTTCCAGGAAGTGGAACTTCATTCCCCTGTCCTGGAAAGGGGACTAGACTTAATGATTTGCATCTAACAAATACAGTATGAAAAGGGAAAAATGGTTAAGTTTACATAGAAAAACCTGACATAGAAATACCATTCTAACCAAGTGGTCCAGGTTAACATCACGACTAATAAGACATAGGTACCCCATGTGATGAGAAGGGCAGTTCACCTCCTCAGTCTTCTTTCCTGAAATTCATCACCTCAGAGTAGTCATAAGAAAACACCATCAAACCAAAACCAGGGAATATTTTACAAAATAATTGACCAGCGTTTTTTTAAAATGTCAAGATCATGAAAGACAAAGAAAGTCTGAGAAACTGTCACATGCTGAAGGACACTATGAGGACATGACATCAACTAACTAGGCAGTACCTCTATAAATCTAAAATTATTTCAAAATAAAAAGGTTTTTGAAAGATATAATACCATTTTGCACTAAGAAAGACATGAAAGTCTGACCTAAGAAGGAAGAGTTGATTATGACTATTTCTGAGTAAAACCCCAAGAGCTATTTGTGCTATTAAAATGACATAGATATGAAGAGCTTTCAAAGTTTTAATCTAGTATCTCATGATTTGTGGTTAATATGTGTGGAAAAGTTTTACTTCTGGTCCTTCATTTCAAGAGTATATTTTTTTAAAAAAAAGACTGTGGAAGAAAAGATTATAACTATAGTACAAGTTAGCTCTGTCCCCATCCTGTACAAGGGTCCAGAAGTAGTACTTACTGGTATTCTTTGTGATAAATGTGGTAAGCCAACTGCAGGAGATAATTCAAAAAGGTTCTCAAAAGTATTGTTGTAAATGGAGAATGAATTTCTTCAACTGGTATGTCATTATTGGCTAGAATAAGAAAATTGGAGAGGATGCCTAGTATTTTCTAGAACCTTCTATGGGCTATCGGTACACAATTCAAAGAACTGAATATGGTGGAGAGCTTATTTCCTAGAGAATGCTCCAAACATATTATAAACATTCAACTAAAAATTAAACACCACACAAAAGATCTCTATCTGGTTACTTTACACGACACATACAAGGTACCTTGTCCCACTGTTTTTCAGAGTAGTTTAAGCCACAGTTTGATTAATGTTGCTAATTCTAAAAGGATTTTAAGTATGTTTCAAATGCTTAAGTTTGAAGTGAATGGGTCTTTTTTTCTAATATTTATCAAGCAGATGATTTGAAGCTTTCGATTCTGCCTTCCGAAGTTCAGCTAAAAGGAGTTCAAAGTTGTTAAATTTATCACATGAACTTTCTAATTTGAAATCAAGACTAATCCTAAGACTACCCAAAGCCTCTTCTATACTGTTCCAAGAACTTACTGCTCCTCTCTGCTCCTGATCTGTCCATTTAGTGGCCTTTTTTCCTTCAATAGATTGGGTGGGAAGGAGAGGGTGAAGGGCCAGATGGAGAATACATTAGGCTTAGTGGTCCACCCAGGTTCTGTCATAACCACTCGGTTTGGTGCTATAGGACAAAAGCAGCCACAGATAATATAACGGGGAATTTTTAAAAACCCAGAATTCCATTATACAAAACTATGTATTTATGTTTACATGTTTAAGCTTCAGGCCGGGCTCGATGGCTCACACCTGTGATCCCAGCACTTTGGAAGGTGGAGGTGAGAGAACTGCCTGAGCCTGGGGGTTCAAGACCAGCCTGGGTGAGACTTTGTCTCTAGAATAAATCAAAACACTAGCTGGGTGTGGTGGCGCATAGCTGTAGTTCCAGCTACTTGGAAGGTTGAGGCAGAAAGACTGCCTCAGTCCAGCAGGGCAAGGCTGTAGTAGCTGGGAGGGTGCCACTGCACTCCAGGTTGGGGACGGCATGAGACTCTGACTCAAAAACACTTCAGTCACCTTCAAAGTACTCTCCATTTGATGCAATGCCCCTACTGAGATGCTTTTTCCACTGCTCAAAACAGTTTTGAACTTGTCCATTTTGATGCCTTTTAGTGCTTCTGCCATTTTTAAAATTTATTTATTTATTTATTTTGCTTCACCTCTTCCGCATCAGCAAAAGGTTTCCCTCTGAGAACCTTTTTCATCCAGAGAAACCAAAAAAAAGTTGCTCCGGGTGAGATTGGATGAATAGGGAGGGTAGGGAACAGGAGTCATGCAGTTTTTGGTCAAAACCTGCTGAAAACTCAGCGTGCTGTGGGCAGGTTGTTCATGTAAGACACCCATCATAAAATGGACAAACATGTTGAAAGAATCTCAAAAAAAAACTCACTAGACCCGAATGTGGCCTCTCACAACAATGGTAGCTAGTACAGAGGAAGCCTGTACTGCAGGACCCACCCTCCAAAAAATAATTCCATGTTTCTTTGGAGGAAGCAGGTGGGCATGGCTGTGTTCCAGTAAAGCCATCTTTAGGAGAACAAGTGGTGGCAGGATTTGGCCTTCAGGCCATGCCTTGCTGGCCCCTGCTCTAGGCAGTCTCGTACTGTCACTGTTATTTCACGAGACTGACTCTTCAAGTAAATGCTAACACTCAAGACAAGACCATATGCTGATTTCTGGAACACCCCTCCCAACGTTTGCCTTCCACACTCCCTCAACATTTCTTAACTGGTTTCCAAGTGACATTATGCTATACTCTGCTTCAAACCAAAAGATGTGAAGGACCTGGAATACTCACCACTTAATACCCTGTCCATATCTGCAAGAGTTATTTTGTGGTGATGAAATTTGCAATCTTTTAAAAATCTCCAGAAGTGAAGCTTTGTCATCAGAAAGGTATTATCCAGAGAGTGATCACATCCCAGGCTGCTATAAAAACTATAGATTCTTCTTAATTCTGTAATATTTCTTAAGATGGCATATTCTACCTGAAAAAGAAGAAAGCCACACATCTTAATTCTGTCAAAGAAGAACAAAAGTAAAAGACACAATACCAGTTTTCTAAATTAAATGGGATAACACATGTAAAGTAATAACATTTACTTCTTACCACTGTAAGAGCTCAATCGATGTTTTATTTTGTCTACTCACCCACAAGTCAATAAAATGCAATTTCTGACCAACCAAAAAAAAAAAAAAAAGCAAGCTGTTTTCTGGAAAATGGTATTTCTTTTATACTGCTATGTGGCAAAATGCTATCTCAATGGCAGCAATAAAATTCTGTTGTATACAGCAGTGGGCCCTAACCTTTTTTGCACCAGAGACTGGTTTCGTGGAAGACAATTTTTCCACAGACAGTGGAAGGATGTGCAGTCAAATCTTACTGCTAGTGTTAATCTGTATTTGCAGCCAGTCCCCAGTGCAAGCATCACCACCTGAGCTCCATCTGGCATTAGATTCTCATAAGGAGCATGCAGCCTAGAACACTTGCATGTGCAGTTCACAATAGGGCTCACGCTCCTATGAGAATCTAATGCCACCACTGATCTGACAGAAGACAAAGCTCCACTCACCCACTGCTCACATCCTGCTGTGCAGTCTGGTTTCTAATAGGCCATAGACCAGTACTGGTCTACAGATCATTATCCTCCATAAACATTTGTGTAAATATCCTTAACGAAATAAGTTGAATCCAGTGATATGTAAAAAGAATAATACATCAACACCAAGTAGGGTTTATCTGGGAATTGCAAAGCTGGTTTGACATTTGAAAAATCAATCAATGTAATTCACCATATTGCTAGACCTAAAAAGAACCATATGATCATATCAATGGATATCTTTCACAAAATTTAACATTCACTCATAATAAACACACTCAGCAAATTAGGAATAGAACTCCTTAACTTGATAAACAGCATGTACAGAAATATACAATTAACATTATACTTAGGGTAGAAAATCTGAAAAAAGCAATATTCACATCGATTGCTTTACTCACCTCCCTCTCGGTCCCATTTCACCTTTCAGTATTTTTCCCAGGTCCCCAAATGCCCTTGGGCTGCCCAAGTTCCCTGCAGCCTATCTGGCACTCTGTTCTCCAAAACCACTTACCCATGCCCCACCCTCATAAGTGAAATTTCAAGAGAATGTGGAAACAGTATTTGGGGTTCTCAGGGAGATAGAAAAGCCCTACCTGGGCGACTTTAGGCATCTTTTACACTCAGCATTAGTTCCTGCCTTTTAAAATTCAATTCAATTGAATACACATTTATAGTCTGCTCTATTGAAAGCATTGCTCTAGAGCACAGCAAAACACAGAATTTGCCTTTATGAACCTTAAACTCTAGTAAAGAAGACATGTACACAACAAGGAAGTGTCGTTGCCAGAAGAGAGCCATGGAGGAAGGGAGTGGAATCTAAATAAGAAGTTTCCTGGAGGACACCATGCTTGAACTGAGCCTCGGATAACGGAAAAATGAGAAGGACTTCACGGAGAGCAGGCACTCAAGTGGGGACCAGGGCCTAGGAGCAGACAGGGTGGGGTACTCCCATAATGCCAGTAGGGCTGTGTGACCTGGGCCAGGCTGTCCTCTCTCTCTGCCCCAGTCCCTCATGTACAAAATGAGACAACCATGGTAGCTGGCCCAGAGGCTGCTGGGAGGATTTGGTGAATTAAAGGCATTTGGAATCATGCCCAGAGCAAAGGGCCATCCATGCACATGCTAGCCACTGATATCACATGAGTCCATGGAGAACAGGAGGAGGAATGACAGAGGAAAGATGAGTTGACATTAGATCACAGCAGACCCTGAATACAGACTAGGTGCATGGAACTGACAGCAAAGGCAACCCTTGGATGAAAAAGGATAGTTCAAAGGCTTAGAAGACCACGGCATGGTTGCTTGAGCTTGTTCTGGCTCAAACTAGAATAACCCGGAACCCTTGCTCAAAAAAAAGACACTCACATTTAAACAAAATCATGCCAATGATGGATAATAAATACATATAATCATGAGGAAATATCAGATAAACCAAAAACGAGGGATATTTTACAAAATAACTGACCAATATCCTTCTAAGTTCGCAAAGTCACGAAAGACAATGAAAGATGAAGGGGTTGGCTGTCACAACTTGGAGGATGCTAAGGAAATAGACAATTAAACAAAATGTGGGATCCTGAAAAAGGAAAAGGGTATTTGCCAAAAAACTGGTAAAATTCAGAAAAAGTTTGTGATTTAGTTACTGGTGTTGTGTCAGTGTTAATTGCTTAGGTTTGATCATTGATTGTACCCATGGTTATATAAGATTAGGGAAAGCGGGATGAAATATATGTGGAAACTGTATGACTTTTGTAATTCTTATATAAGTCTAAAATCATCTCAAAGTAAAAAGTAAAAAAAAAGTAATATTTTCTAACTACATTGCTAATATGTCCATAATCTGAAATATTACATAGTCATTAAAAATGTTTAAAATCTTTCATGAGATTAAGAGTTCTAAAAAATATTTTAAAGTATTTCTGAAGTGTAGAATTACAGAATTCTTTCACTTTCTGTGTCATATATTTCTATAATGTTTGAATCTGTTTGTAAAAGCATGTGTTACTTTTGTAATTTTTTAAAAGTAAGACATATTTTCAAAAACAGGGCCTCACTCTGTTACCCAGGCTGGAGTTAATACCACTACAGCCTCAAACTCCTGGGCTCAAGCAATCCTGCTGCCTCAGCCTCCTGAGGATTACAGACGTGAGCCACCATGCCCAGCTAATTAGAAACAAAATTTTTTGTAGAGATGAGGGTCTCTCTATGTTGCCCAGTCTGGTCTCAAACTCTTGACTTCAAACAATCCTCCTGCCTGGGCCTCTCAAAGCACTGGAATTACTGGCATGAGCCTAAAATATATAATTTTAATAAGACCCATGTTTTGACATAAAAAGAACTCCAAATTGGAAATTTAACATATATATGTAATATTATATATAATATAGTATATATACAATTATATATGGGAGAGAGGCTATAATGTAAACAACAAGATCCCTACTTTTTTTGGTATACCAATATACATACTTATTCATCTAAAATTATATCGTAGGAGAATATGTAATGGCATTGAATAGCTATCATTAAATACTACACAAAGATAGAGATCATATGTGTAGAATGATCCCATTTCTGCATATGTCTACACAGTAAAAAACTGGAGAGTGTCTGAAGATTTTTGTCTGGGTGGAGAGTCTCTTTTTCCTTTTCCTTACCTGTATTTTCTACAAGTATCATGTACTGGCCAGACACGGTGGCTCACGTCTACAATCCCAGCACTGCGGGAGGCCAAGGTGAGAGGATTGCCTGAGGCCAGCCTGGGCAACTTGGCGAGACCTCATTTCTACAATAAATCAAAAAATTAGCCAGGCACAGTGGCATGTGCCTGTAGTTCCAGCTACTTGGAAGGCTGAGGCAGAAGGACCACCTGAGCCCAGCAGATCAAGGTTGCAGTGGCCATCAGCAGTGTGCCACTGCACTCCAGCCTGGGCAACAGAGTGAGACTCCAAGTCAAAAAAAAAAAAAAAGTATCACGTACTACTTTTGTAACTAGAGAAAGTAATACACATTTCTATTTTTAACAAGAACCTTGCAGCAGAGGCGAGGGATACCAGCAGTCTGTATTATAACATTGGCCATGAGACAGAAATTGGGAGGATCTGGGAGAAAGAGTCATCCCTCTTGAGGCCAAAGAACCAGGGGCCAGATGAGGTAGAGGCAGGGAAGAGAAAAGAGCCAAAGATGCTTTACAGGTTTGAAGTGCTAATGGTTCTTTATCGTGAACAGCATCTTCAACGAGAGTTTCATCAAAGAAACATACCAACCCCTCGTCAAACCAGGGGCCGTGAGAATAAAATGTAATTTGATGGCCATAATTTGCCAGATGCTAATCAAATTAAGTTCAAGTATACACAATTTTCTCTATCTCAAAGGATTTCTAGGTTTCTAATGATTTCTAAGGGCTTGAGTTCTTTTGAACCACAGCAGTCCATGATAAGGCATAGCAAAACTAATGTCCTGCAGAGAAGGTGGCCACAGCCTTGCCTGGTCTTCAGACCATGTGTGGGTGAGGTTGACGTCCCTGATAGGCTCTGAGGCTCTGGGTAACTCACCTAGTCCCTCCACTGGGACTTTCCTCACAAAGCCTGCTCAGTCACAGACTTGACTTTTGAATTAAATGGGGTAGTATATGTAAAGCATCCATCAGGCAGATAAGACACTCAGTATATGACAGCAGTCACTAGTTATATTTCCCCAGGACAACATTTATAACAATGAAAAGGTTATCACCTGCTTCTTCTCTTCTGCTTGGTCTGCCTTAGGGTACATGTTCAACAACAATTTTAGATTCAGCTCGATACTCGATCCTAGCACAGAATGACTTTCACTGCCATCAAGCTTTCTGATAAGTTCTAGCAAATATAGGCAAATAGAGAGGATAATTACGAAAAGCAATGTTAAAATTGTTCAATGTTATATCAAAATGATTTTCCATCAAATGTGATACGAGAGTATTCAGAAAACCTACTAAGAGAGCAGTTGCTCACAAAAAGTTCTGTTTTCTGAAGTATTCGGTATTTTCATGAGTAGACACCAGGAATAAAAACAGATTAATTTGTTTTCAACTGACAGGTGAATGCGCCCTACCAGCACTCATGGATGGTCTGCATTGCTGGCCTCTTTTGGCAACTTCTGAAGGCGAGTTCAGGTAATTTATGAGTTCTGTTTCCAGATCTGGAAACTCTGTGACGTGGTCATTGGAAAACAGGCCTTCATACACACGCCCGTTCTTGAAAGTTAATCGGCCCTGCAGATAGAAACATCACCACTTGCAGTTTAGAAAGAGTTTTCTTAGGAAAACATTGGGAAATATACACCAATCACTTTTACAAGGGTTTGGAGCTTTTTGTTTGTTTTGAAGACATACACTTAGACCACATACAGTCAGAACCCTAAAGTCTCACATGCTATGTAAACCTTTTCTCTTTCCCTCCTCCTGCTAACTTCTCCCTCACTGGCTTCTCCTCCTTGTCTGTTCCTCTTCTCTCTCCTCTCCTCTCCCTGTATCTGCCCCACAACCTCTTCCCAACTTTAAGCATCTTTAGCCCATACGATGTTTCTTATTAAGTTATTCTGGTGACCGGCAGAACACCCATCACACAAAAGGGACTCTCCTGGTATGTGTCAAACCCAGCCCTAGAGTCAGTAACTGATTCAGAGGTGGAAAATGACCCAATTCAGCTTTGTGAAACAAAGGACATTTGTAGAGAACTTCTGAGAAAAGTTTTTTCTCTTATTTGAGTTAGCGTGGTATGTGCATTTGAAACTTGGAACCACAGCAGCCATCTCGCAATCAAAAGGGAGGGACCACACAGAGTAAAACTGACATGGTTGGCGATATTGTGGATAGATAGAAGAGAAATCCTGATATCACTGAGTCGCTGAATCTAACCAACCCTGAAGCTCACATTGTTCTTGATTACATATGGTAAATTATGCTACATTGTCTGTTACTTGCAACCAAAAACCACCCTAACACACACATACACACAATAAAACTAAGTAACAACTAAATATATAGAAATGCAAGGTACTAGCTAGAGAATGGCATACCTTTTGTTGTATTTCTTTTTTTTTTTTTTTTTTTGAACTGGAGTCTCACTCTGTTGCCCAGACTGGAGTGCAGTGGCACACTCACAGCCACTGCATCCTTGACCTACTGGATCCAGGCAATCCCTCCAAATAGCTGGAACTACAGGCGTGTGTGACTGCTCCTGGCTAATTTTTTGACTTATTGTAGAGATGAAGTCTTGTCAAGTTGCCCAGGCTGGCCTTGAATCTACGGGCTCAGGCAATCCTCTCATCTTCACTTCCCAAAGTGCTAGGATTACATGTGTGAGCCATCTCGCCCAGCCTTTTTGCTATATTTCAATTGCTTGGCATAATCTTTAAAATGTAATCGTCACAGGTCTATACTCACCATGCCATGTTTTTTATTGGAAACCCATTCTCCTTCATACATGGCTCCACTGGCATAGGAAAACTTTCCGTGTCCATGACGACACCCATTTACAAACTCTCCCGTGTATTCATTTCTCAAAGGATACTGGGAGTTAGGGATTCTCTTTAGAAACCATGTGTGTGTTCCAAAGCCATTCTGAAAAGACAGCAAACTACCATCAGAAATGCTTAAAATAGTTCCTCTTTTTACCTGAATCCATTTGAAGTTAGGACAAATACGATAGTAATTTGAAGGCGCAAAGAATATGGACTCTGGATCACACCAACTTGGGTTCAACCCCAGCTCAGCCACTTACTAATCAGTCTTTTGATCTAGGGCAAATTATTTAAACCCTCTAAGTTTTTCATTTATAAAACAGAAATACAGGTTGGATGTAAAGACTGATGGCAGTGTATATAAAGTGTCTGGCTTGATAACGGTTATCTTAATTTATATTTTTAATTTTTTTAAGATGCAGATTTATAAAACTATACCCTCCTCAATCCCCACTTTCCAAAGGTAACCACTAATTAGATTTGAGAATTCATCTGTGTATTCCCCAGGCATATACAATCATACATCTTAAATAAAAATGTTATACATGCATATAAAAACATACACAATTTTTTCAATAATGGGATGACTCTATATATACCATTCTGTAACTTTTGGGTATATACCCAAGATTAAAAGCAGGGACTCAAACAGACATTTGTACACCCATATTCATAGCAGCATTATTCACAATAGCCAAAAGGTGGAAACAACCCAAGTATTCATTAGCAAATGAAAGGATGAACCAAATGTGGTATATCCACACAATGGAATATTAGCCTTAAAGTGAAAGGAAATTCTGACACATACTACAACATGAATGAACCTTGAAGACATTAAACCGACTCAAAAAAATGGGGAAGATAGAACAGGTAGACAGAAAATTTGTAATGCTATAAAAGAACTGACCAACGACATTATCAATCCACTTGATCTAATTGATATCTATAGAATACTCCACCCAACAAAAGCAGAATTGCATGAAACATTCAGCAGGACAGACCATATTATGGGCCATAAAGTAAATCAACATATTGAAAAGAAAAACAATCATATAAATTATATTCCTTGACCACAGTAGAATTAACAACAAAAATCAACATTAGAAAGGTATCTGGAGTCCCGGCTACTTGGAAGGCTGAGGCAGAAGGATCGCCGGAGCCCAGCAGGTCGAGGCTGCGGTGGCCGGGAGCGGCCACTGCACTCCAGTCTGGGCGACAGAGTGAGACTCCAACTCCCAAAAAAAAGAAACGTATCTGGAAAATCTCCAAATATTTGAAAATTAAAAACATACTTCAAAATTACTTATGGGTCAAAAAGGAAGTCACAAGTAAATTACAAAATATTTTGAACTAAACAAAAGTAAAAAGACAGCATATCAAAATTATTGGGATACAAATAAACCAGGGCTTAGGAGAAAAATTGTAGTGTTGAATGCTTATATTTGAGCCAAGTGTGGTGGCTCATACCTGTAATCCAAGCACTTGAGGAGGCCAAGAAGAGCCAGGAGTTCAAGACAAACCTAGCAACATAGCAAGACCCCCCCATCTCTAACAACAACAAAAGCAGCTTCTATTTGAAAAAATATATATCAAATCAATAAAGTTTCCACCTTACAAGTCTAGACAAAGAAGAGCAAATTAAACCTGTAGCACATGGAAGCAAGGTAATAACAGAGAGCAGATACCAATTACATGGAAAATTGCAAAAACCAGAAAAAATAAATCAGAGAAACTAGCAGTGGCTACTTGAGAAGATTAATAAAATTGATACACCTCTAGAAAGACTGATAAAGAAAGGTGAGAAAGCACAAATGACTATTATCAGGAAAAAGAGGGAACATTGCTAATAGTTTTTACGTGTCTTAAAAGAATAATAAAGGAATGTCATGAAAACTTTTTGCCAATAAATTTAGCTTTATCTGTGAGTAGACAAATTCCTTGAATAAAACAAATATCTAAAATTCACTTAAGAAAAAAAAATAGATAAGGCCAGGCACCATTGGTCATACCTGTAATCCTAGCACTTTGGGAGGCTGATGCAGGAAGGTCACCTGAGCCCAGCAGTTCGAGACCAGCCTGGACAACATAGTAAGATCTAGTCTCTACAAAAAAGATTTAAAAATTTTCCAGGTGCAGTGGCATGCACCTATAGTCCCAACTACTTGGGAGGCTGAGGAGGAAGGATCACCTAAACCAAGAAGTTTGAGGCTGCAAGGAGCCATGATCATGCCACTGTACCCCAACCTGGGTGACAGAGTGAGATCCTAGCTGGAAGAGGTGCAGAAATTATCTTTAAAAAATCAAATTTATAGTTAATCATCCACAAAGACAACTCTAGACCCAGAAGGTTTCCCTGGCATATTCTACTAAACCGTTAAGGAAGAGATAATGCCAATTCTATAAACTCTTCTGGAAAATTAAAGCAAACACTTCCCACCGGGCTCGGTGGCTCAGCCTGTAATCCCGTGCTTTGGGAGGCCGACATGAGTAAATTGCCTGAGCCCGTGGGTTCGAGACCCGCCTGGGCAACTTGGCGAGACCTCATCTCTGCAATAAACAAAAAAAAAAAAATTAGCCAGGCATGGTAGCATGCGCCTGTAGTTCCAGCTACTTGGAAGGCTGAAGCGGAGGGATCACCAGAGACCAGCAGGTCGAGGCTGTGGTGGCCGGGAGCGTGCCACCACACTCCAGTCTGGATGACAAAGTGAGACTCCAACTCAAAAAAATAAAATAAAAAAATAAAACAAACACTTCCCAACTTCTTTTATGAGGCCAACATTTCCCTGATTATAAAACCTGACAAAGATATTATAACAAAAAAATACTATAAATCAATATTCCTCATGAACATAGACAAAATTTCTCAAACGTATGAGGAAATTGAATCCCACAATATATAAAAAGGATAATAATGTCATGACCAAGTAGTTTATCCTAGGAATGCAGGGTTGGTTCAACATTTGAAAATCAATCAATATAATTGAACATAACAACAGACTAGAGAAGAAAACCACACAATTATCTGACTTACGCAGAAAAAGCATAAAACAAATTCAACGTTCATTCATAATAAAAACTGTCAGTAATAAGAATTAAAGAGATCTTCCTGGACTGGATAGAGGGCATCTTTGAAAAACCTAAAGCTAATATCACAATGAAAGACTGAATTCTTTCCTGCTAAGGTTAGGAACAACGCAAGGGCGACCCCTCTCCTCACTCTGATTCACCATCATACTGGGAGTCTACCTAACCAGTGCAACATGGCAAGGAGAAAAAAAATTGTGTATGGATTAGAAATATACAAAGTTGACTGCATTTGCAAACATGATTGCTCATACAGAAAACTTCAAAGAATCTCCAAAAAAAGCATTATGTGAATTTAGCAAGGTCCCCAATTACCAGACTAAAATGTAAGATATCATCAGAAAGTGGAAGTCCTAGATATATAAGCATTATAAATCTAACCCTACAAAGTTTTTCTTTTCTTTTCATGAAATTCGTAGCCTCTAAATTATAAATATAGTCTCAGTCCTTACAGGAGCTGTATGAATTTATGAGTTTGCCAATGGAAGTTTGTGTGCAAGACCATTAGAAAAGATTAAATAATAAAACAGCAATTAAAAAGTACAGTTGAGACCAGTACATAGCAACCTGAGCTTCTAAATTTAGCCGAGCATATAAAACTCAGATTACCATACAATATCATCCTAAATAATACAGGGGCTGAAGATCAGCAGAGCATCCACCTCTGGGTATAAACTGCTGGGGTCAGCCAGGGCCTACCTGGACCCCTCTCTCCCACTGGCCGGTGTACTCTTCATTGGTCGTCAGCCACCTCATCCTCCCTTCCCCGTGGCGCATATTGTCTTCCCACTGGCCCTCGTATATATTTCCAGATTTGTAACTAAGACAAAAGAAACAAATGAAAAACTATCAGTTACCTCACATATGTTCTATATGTACATATACATTTATCTTTAAGACTTTTTTAGCCGGGCTTGGTGGCTCAGCCTGTAATTCCACGCCTTTGGGAGACTGAGGTGAGTGGATTGCCTGAGCTCGCAGGTTCGAGACCCGCCTGGGCAACTTGGTGAG